CAATAGGGCCTACACTTCATCATTAAACGTGATGTCTACGGAGATAAGCTGATCAACAATCGTGTTGAACTTGCTGAAGTGCATCGTGAAGGACCGTCCTTCTGCCATCTTGAAGTTGAAAAGAGTTTTGACGAGATGCATATTGTTTGCTGTCGACGGTTGCTCGTATATCTTTGCGAGCGCTTCCATAAGCCCCACTGTTGTCTTCTCCTTCAAGATATTATGGGCTACTGATTTGGCGAGAAACAACCGGATTTGCCCTAGAGCCTTCTTATCCAGCATCTCTCAATCATCATCCGATTCCTCTTTCTTCTGTCCCTTATCCTTGCCTATCAACGGGCTATACAACCCCTTCTGGTACAAATAGTCCTCCATCTGCGACTTCCAGTAGGCGAAGTTTGAACCATCAAACTTCTCGATCTTTGATTTGATTTCCTCTACCATGGCTTTCACACAAATTACTGAACGAAGCTCTGATACCAGTTATTGGAGATTCGAAACAATCAAATCAAATCCTTACCCTTCTGAACCTTGTGTTGAAAGTAGGAAAGCAGGAAAATTCACCATAAATAAAGATCAAAACTTATAAAAGAGTAAATGAGACAAACACACCAGATTTAACGAGGTTCGGCAACGTGCCTACGTCCTCGGGAGCCACACCACACAATTCCTTTATTGATTGAAGAAGAAATATAAGCTCTCAAACTAGGGTTTTATCTCTCTAAGATTCTCTCTCTTTTTCTGTTGTCAAAAGCTCTCTTTTTCGTGTTCTTCTAAGCCCTAAAATCGTTTGGGTATTTATATCAAATTCAGTCCAAACAGAATTCCTAAACAAATTAAGAATCTGTCAAACAACGTCGCGGTTGACCGTGGCGGTTGACCGCGCAAGTATCACGGTCGACCGAACCAAAAACCAAGACCAAAAATCCCTACAGGGTTGGCGCGGTCGACCGTCGCGATCGACCTTCTCGATCGATCGCCTTTAGCTCTAGACTCTTCCCAACTATTGTGCACGTTCGCGGTCGACCGCCGCGGTCGACCGTGTAGGTCTTTTGCGGTTTTCTCGATTTTTTCTTCGTCTTCTTGATTCCAGCTTCGGCTTTAACTTTGGGTCTACACTTTAGACTAACAAAAGATGCACTAACATTTGATTTAAGCACCATCAAATTATCATAAAAAGATTTAACAATTCAGTGATAACTCATAAAAGATTAACAGAAAGTGAAATGAGTTTCACATGAATAAAGAAGTGTGCAAAACCATAAAATCAATTAAATTAATTTTTATTGTCATGACATTGCCTGCATGTTACAAATGAAAGGCTATTACATACACTATCTAACAATTTAAAACATGCATCTCTCCTTTTCTTGTGAAAAATCAACACCCAACGGACTACTGAAATACCCACCCCAAAACCTAGAGCAAAACCTGCAATAATCCACTCAATTTCATCTACTTCATCTTCACCAATCAAGCTTGTTGGAGATGGAGTTTTATCACCATTTCTGCATTTTGACAAAGGAAATCCACACAGGTTTCTGTTGCCCACATATATTGAAGGATAAGGGAGGGCCTGGAGCTGATTACCAGATGTAATTCTCCCTAATAATTCATTATATGACAGGTTCAATAGACCCAAAAATGTTAGCTCACCCAAACTTGGTGGAATTTCATTATATGAAAGGTTCGTTCTTTTAGGCATATGCTAGAGTGAATTGTGAAGTTCATCTAACTAGTATAGCACTAGTTCAATGCAGCAAACATGCATGCACGATAGTAAAAATGTGTTTTAGCCTTTGCTTTTGAGCATTAATCAAACTATGGTTTTTTACCTAGCTATCATGGGACTAATCTTTAATTCCACAGGACTTTTGTTTCAACCCCTACTATTTTTCTAATCTTGTTTCCTTGTGTAGTGTGATAGTGTGGTTTGCTCACAGAGTTTGATCACTCTCAGCGATGAATGATTGGCTTCATTGTAATATTAAGAAATTTGAGGTTCTTGCTACCTTCCTCATTAGGATGGGGTTGATTATGACTGTTGTAGTGGTCTATTTGGAATTGACTATGATATCTTGTTTCTTATTCTGAAACCTAAGCAGGTTGTTTCTAGCTGGAATTGGCATTGAATCAAAGTAGTGTCTCAAATCCTATCCAAAGAAGTGAACATCTTCTAAGTATATGTTGTGATATAGAACCAGTGGAGGAATAGCTCGGTTATTTTTGTTATTTAAATAAAAAATGAATCTGATGTTCTCTGACATTCCTGATCAGGGATATAAAATAGAAAGTTGTCCCAGCATGATATTTTTCTTTTTCATGTGTTTAAATGCTTGGGTTGTTTAAGCTTGTTATGCAAAATGATGATGAACAAATAGAGGTCAACATTGAGCCCAGAACGCTAGCTTTACTCAATATCATAATCATAAATATTTTTAAGTAACCGTCTGTTAGAATTATTTTTATAAATGACATGACCTTGTTCATGTTCTTTTATTAGTGGAAGATTCTTGCTACTAAGTAATGACTATTAAGCCACAAATAATGCTTTACTGGTTTGAATGTACCAACTATTATAAGTAACTTTTTTCAACATAGTGAAACAAGCTGTTGCGTGAGCCTTATTATTATTGGTCTTGTCACAATACCTAAGCTGATGGATGTATATGTTTGTGAAAAGCGTGATTTACATGCCAAGCCCACATGCTTCAGTCGCTTTGTTCCGAATGTGTGATGTCCTCACCGTCGAGAATTAAGTGTGAATTTGATTAGAAGATGGTCCAAATGAGTTGTTGATGCTGGTAAACTATTTGTCAAGAGTGGAGATGAGTTTATGATTAGCGATGACCTGCATATGACTCTGGTTTTTATGGAGCATAGCCTGTATTTAATCCAGAAACTGAGAATAGAAGATGCATGCATTCTCTAGCATAAGTCTATGGATCTGGGTAGAGGTGAGGTAATTCCTATGAGCCTCTTTGTATATTGATACATAATTAATTTGGTCCCCCAAGTCTTGTCTTTTGAACATCTGATGTACTGAACGCTAACCATAGGCTAAGCACACCTTTGACTCCCAATAGTTGATATATAAAACTAGTATGGAACTCTCACAATTTCTGTTGCCAAGAGTTGATTTTTCAGCAGTTATTGTATGTGCAAACTTACCAAAAGAATGTTAAAACTTCATTTTATAGGTTTTTGATGTTTATATTCTATTATTTGATTTTTTTTAATTAATTTCAGGGGATGAAAGATGTGAGATTGATGTTTTGATGGGTTCACTAAAGTAAAATAATCAAGGACTTCGGCATATTTTTCTCTCTTTGGTTAAGATTCTCTATATATGAAATTGATTGTAATAGACTTTGTTGATTAAGATCTTCTATATGAAATTGATTGTAATAGACTTTGTTAGTTAAGATTTTCTATATGAAATTGATTGTAATAGACTTTGTGACTAGAAATGGATTATACTTTATATTAGGATTGTAATAGACTTTGTGACTAGAAATGGATTATACTTTATATTAGGAATATCATGACATTTACTTTAGATTTGTTTTGGTTCTGGATTATACTTTATATTAGGAATATCATGACATTTACTTTAGATTTGTTTTGGTTCTTTCATTGACCTTCCTTTCTGCAAATATTATGTGTGAGAAATGTTGTTCTTTAATTAGTGAAATTGTGGTTTTGCTTCCGCTTGTTAATATTTACAAACTTGATGTTGATGGCCACTCAGGTTTTTGTGTTAGGAAATTGCCAATTTTTTTAAATACATGTTTATTAACATGTTACTTCCCAAGATTGTGAAAACATGTTCGGTAACTTGTAAATTTTTTGAAAATATGATAGAATCACACTTTAATTTAATTATTTTTGTAAATTATTTATAATCTAAATCTAATTCCAAAAAGTATGAATTAAAATTATGTTGTGATAATTTTCTTCCTCTTTAACTCAAAAAGGTAACCAAACAAGAGAAAATGACTTTCTTATGAATTTTCTTCTAACTTTCCTTACAATATTATTTCTAACCAAACAATAAAAAGAATATCATTATCTTTTCCTTACTTTTTACTTTCTCTTTCTTTTTCTTTTCTCTCCCTTTCTCTCAAACCAAACATAGCCTAAATAAATGGTACGGGTTCTTTTAATGGGTTCCTTAAATGCTTGTTTGGATTGGGGGTATTGAGTTAGATTGGGGGTATTGAGAGGCAAGCGAAGATAGAAGGCATATTAAATCTTGTTTGGAAATTGATTTGAGGTAGATAATGTGAGGGAAGTTATGGTAATAAAAGGGAAACAACTTGAGATTTTATTTCCTCTCAAACTGGGGGTAATGGAGAGGAGTGGAACTCTTGAAACTTGAAAGAAGAGAATATTATACAAAGATAACTTTACGCTTGCATCAAGATGAAATTCAAAGGGGTAAAATAATATGTAAGATTATTTATAGAAATTTTACATATATTTTCCTTTTTCTCTTCACTTTAATGAACTTTCTGGAGATAGTGAAATAAGTTCCCTTTGATTTTCATTATTAAACTCTTAAATAAGTTTTGTACGTGATAAAAAAAGTTTTGCATAATTCCTTTAACCACCTTCAACTTAACTTATCCTAATTCACTTAATTTAGAGGCAAATCCAGAGATGCCTTAAATGGATTTTAGGAATGAGGGCGTAATTTATCTTCATAGGCTAAATATCATAAAAACCCATTAACTTTAGATGATTGTCCCACTCACAAAATATCAGAAAATCCCCCTTAACTTTAGGGGTTATGAGAAAACCCCTCTAACTTAGGGAGATTTTTTGATATGTTAAAGATGTTTTCTAATAAACTCTGAAAGTTAAAGGGGCTTTGTGATAATTCGGGGAGTGTTCCCAATATTTTAAAAGTTAAGGGGAGTTTTCTGATATTTACCTTTTCTTTTTTATCATAACGCCATATTCGCGGCAATGTATAAATTCAAATTCAAGCCCTAGGTTTCTATCGATGCCATCGATGCTCCTCTGAAGAAAGCTTCTCTCTCTAGAAGTCAAGCCCTAGGCTTAAAAATCGACTCTCATCCTAGGTTTCGATCGATCTCCTCTGAAGAAAGCTTCTCTCTCTAGAATTCAAGCCCAAATTTAAGCCCTAGGTTTCGATCGATGCTCTGAAGAAAGCTTCTCTCTGTAGAATTCAAGCCCTAGGCTTAAAAATCGACTCTGCTAGGGTTCGATCGATCTCCTCTGAAGAAAGCTTCTCTCTCTAGAATTCAAGCCCAAATTTAAGCCCTAGGTTTCGATCGATGCTCCTCTGAAGAAAGCTTCTCTCTCTAGAATTCAAGCCCTAGGCTTCGATCGGCCTCCTAGGTTTCGATCGAAACTCCTGTGAAGAAAGCTTCTCTCTCTAGAGTTCAAGCCCTAGGTTTTGATCGACTCTCTCTGAGGAAATCTTCTCTACAATTCAAGCCCTAGGTTTCGATCGACTCTCATCTGAAGAAATCTTCTCTCTCTATAACGAGCCCTAGGTTTTGATTGACGCTCCTTTGAAGAAATCTTCTCTCTCTAAAATTTAAGCCCTAGGTTTCAATCGATACTCCCTTGAAGAATCAAATTTTCTCTAAGGATGGGGCGAGTCGTTGGTGGGAAGTACAAATTAGGGGAAAAGATCAGAAGTGGATCCTTCAGTGAGGTCTATCGCGGTGAGCATGGTTAAACCCAAAACCATTAGATTCTAATGGCCATCACTGTATTCTATATCTTTACCTCTAACCCGCCTCTGTGAATTTTGATACAGCTACGCATGTCGACACATCTGAGCTTGTTGCGGTCAAAATTGTGAGTTATTGCTGATTCATCTAAGTGTTACTGAAATATGGCTCAGTTAGAGGGATTAGTTAGCGTATTAAACATATATGTACATACGTATGTATATGTACATATGTACATATATATACATATACATATGCATGTATATGTACATATATGCATATGCATATGCACTTATATGTACATATGTATAGACATACATACATCTATATACATATGTACCTATATGTACATATACATATATATATATATATATATATATATAGATACATATAGCAAATATGTATATGTAGCAATATGGAGGAACTTAGTACCAAGCACAAGTTTTTGTGCTTGGTAGTGAGGGTGTTCATTCCTGTCCACATATTCAAATGGGGGACAATATATATATATATAGACACACACACACACATATATGTATATATATTCAAATATATAGATACATATAGCAAATATGTATATGTAGCAATATGGAGGAACTTAGTACCAAGCACAAGTTTTTGTGCTTGGTAGTGAGGGTGTTCATTCCTGTCCACATATTCAAATGGGGGACAATATATATATATATAGACACACACACACACATATATGTATATATATTCAAATATATAGATACATATAGCAAATATGTATATGTAGCAATATGGAGGAACTTAGTACCAAGCACAAGTTTTTGTGCTTGGTAGTGAGGGTGTTCATTCCTGTCCACATATTCAAATGGGGGACAATATATATATATATAGACACACACACACACATATATGTATATATATTCAAATATATAGATACATATAGCAAATATGTATATGTAGCAATATGGAGGAACTTAGTACCAAGCACAAGTTTTTGTGCTTGGTAGTGAGGGTGTTCATTCCTGTCCACATATTCAAATGGGGGACAATATATATATATATAGACACACACACACACATATATGTATATATATTCAAATATATAGATACATATAGCAAATATGTATATGTAGCAATATGGAGGAACTTAGTACCAAGCACAAGTTTTTGTGCTTGGTAGTGAGGGTGTTCATTCCTGTCCACATATTCAAATGGGGGACAACATTCACATGGATTGGGGAGTAGATGAGAATGAGACACCTCACTACCAAGCATAAAATTTGTGTTTGGTACCAAGTTCCTACGTTTCTCTCTATTTGCTCTTTGACGCCTATGTGGCACAATCTACATCATCCTCTTAAAGTAGGAGAGAGAGTGTGAGTTGGTGGGGATTTGTACCTACTTTATGAGGGTGGTGGGGATTGTGTCACACATGCGACAATGAGGGAAATCCCCTCCTATGACAAGGATACCCATTAATCTATATATATATATATATATGTATACATATATACATATATGTATACATATATACAATATGTACCTATATATATGTGTGTGTTTATATATATGTACATATATATATGTATGAGTGTTATCGAGGCGCGAGGCACAATGCGGGGCCCTTATGCGCACCATGCGCAAGACGCACAACGATGCGCGCGTCTCATTGAATTGAGGCGCATAACTCAAACTAACATTTTCCAACATAAGACAAAAACATATAAGCAACATGTTTATAAATTGTAACATAAAAAATTAAGAAATATAATTTCACATACTAAATCATGAAAGAGTCTTAATTAGCATGCATAACATAGAGAAATTCATAAGTTTTCACAAATCACAATGCAAGATAATCTTCAACATAAGCAAAAGTCTATGAAACAAAACAAGCAAGTAACAAATAAGAAATAGGTATTTTTATTTAAAATTAATATATGTATTTTTAAGTAACAATTAGATGATTAACAAATATGACTGTTCATAATTTTCTAGTTAGCATTCTTAATTGCTATTTGCTAGTTAGAATGAAAAGATGAAGAATAAAGATAACAATTATATATTTACATGTACATAATTTCTAGTTAGCATGCTAATAGAAATGGAAGTTATTGTTAGCAAACAAGTATACTAAATTACTAATTACTATTTTTTATAGGTTAAACATGAAAAGATGGAGAATTGATTAACAATTAGCAAGAAAGAGCCTATTACATGATGTACATATGTAATATATAAATTATTTAAAAAAAATAGAAGAAAGAGTATTATATGATGCAAGTGTCAAGCGCACACGAGGCGCGAGCGAGGCGCACACGAGACGCACACGAGGCGCACACGAGGCGTGCGCCTCGTGTGCGTGCATCGCCCCACCTCTGGTGCGGGCAGCTCCTCGTGCTCGGGACGTGCCCGAGGCGCGCGCCTCGATAACACTATGTGTGTGTGTATATGTACATGTATATATGTGGGAGTGTGAGCCTTGGCGCAATAGTAAGGTTGTTGCCTTATGACTTGGAGGTCATGTGTTCAAATCCTGAAAACAGCCTCTTCGCATGCAAGGGTAAGGCTGTGTACATCTAACCCTTTCCAAAGCCCACGATGGTGGGAGCGTCATGCACTGAGCTACCTTTTTTTTACATGTATATATGTATACATATGTATGTACGATACCTATATATTATTAAAAAGCTTAGATTTTTTTTCCAATAAATATGCTTTTTTTGATTTTATCAAAAAAGCTTAGATTTTCTTGTTACAGGAGTTTAGATTATGTGTCCTCATACTGGGGTTTATCATATACTCAAAAATTAAGTGTTTGATGCGAAGTTCAGATTTCTTGTGAGAACGAGATTCTAATTATTGTTAGATTCTTCCAAAAGTTTTCTAAAATGAAAAATTTTCTTGTGAAAGTGAGATTTTATCCAAATAGTTTAGATGAATTTGTTGCAAAAGTATTGATCTTTCCAAAAACAAGAATTTTGTTTTGTGTTGATTAGGTTCTATGTGAATAGTTTTTAGTTTTCAAGCATTTTGCTGTTGCTAGAGTATTCACTATTGTTGCATATATAGGCTATTGAGCTTCAATACTTACTAGGTTTCCGAGGTTTAATTTTTCAATTGACTGATATGGATCTTCCATGGTTGTTCAAAAATGGGATTTTGTTTTGATAAACCAATTTTGAGAAACTTAGGTGTGCAAATCCTATCAGAATAGATCGCACTGTTTTGATATGCAAAAAATGGGACATTTCTGCATGTCTAAAAAACTTTTAGTTAAATCCCATTTAATGGAGAACATCTGCTCACGGACAAATCAATTAGAACTAAAAGATGGAATTGAAGTACAAGTGTAAAACCCCACAAAAATTTAGATAATATGTGATTAATTGTGATTAGTAAATTTTTATCATGATAAATATCATTAAATGATGTATGAGTATGATAACAAGTGATTTGAGATCAAACAAGTTCATATATGTAAGATAAACGAGTCAAAACATGTAAAAATGCCAAAACATGCACAAACAAGAAGTGATCTGGCCGCTCGACCGGCCACCCATGCCCGGTCGATCGACGGACATTTTTCCAGTTTTCTTGGTTGTGGTTGGATTCGGATTTTTGAGGTCCAAGTCCACATATATGTTATGTATACCTCTTGTTCACGAATTTTCACATATTTTATCAAAACTTTTGAACCCTAGCAGCCACCGTCTCCTCTTCTAAACCTTAGATCTAATCTTTATGAGTTCAAGTGCTTTGTGAAGCAAATTTCGACGTGAAGGCGAGATCTTTAGCGTATGGCTTAGGGATCTGTTTTGTGTTGCACTTTCAGGCTTTCAAAAAAGGTTTTTAGACGAGTTTCATCTCTGCTAACCCTACACCCATGTTTTAATTAATGAGCTTTGGTTTGATTTCTTTGAGCCTACACCCTATTTTGAGTACAAGAAAATAGCATATGATTAAAAGATTAAATCTTTCTGCTTTAAAAGAGTGTTGAACGATTTTTTAACGTGTATTTAAGATCTGAAGGTTTCTAAACATGAGTTTTAACTGAGTTTGATGATTCTCTCGACGTTTTGAGGCTTTTGAACATGTTTAGGGTTTACATATAATATTTAATATGATAATTCTTGTTTCATGTGGTAGATGAACTTCAGTAGTGTTAAACAAGTATTTACAATGTGTTTTACATGTTTTACAGTAAGTTAAACAATTTAGAATCACAAACTGACACCCGAACACAGCCTGCAAGAAACATGTTTAATGCCTCTAGCTGGCCGACCGGCGACACATGCCCAGTCGACCGACTCGCATACTTGTGCATGTGCATGTTTTGTATTACCAGTTGTTCGATCGAGGGGTTTTCTCCATCATCCTACATTGTTATATGTTTGTTATCTGTGTAACATCTGAGATGTTTGTGAACACAAGAATTAGATCCGCACATCGAGATACGTGCACGAACACTTGATACATATTGTTTTTGAGTTTACATGAATAGTTGTGATGCGAAATACATGTTTAGTGTTGATAGTGTTGGAATAACACATGAAATGCATATTACATCAGTTGTGGGTGCTTAGTGGTTAGTCGGTATACCGTAATGAGACCGCGGATGGACTACACTTAGAGTTGGTTAGTTTTACCGCAATGAGACCACGGATGGACCACCCTCTAGGGTGATCATGATATTTTTGGATTGGACGGATATGTATATACACCGCTTGGCGATCATCTGTTATGCATCATACGGAATAGGATGATTTACCTATTTTCGAAGAACAATTAAGGTGGTAGACATAGGATATTGTGATGGCATTATAATAGATCGTTACCTCATGTAGAGGTATGTACGTAGTTTGCTTTATTGCTGCCATGTTAGATTACCCGAGAGTATGGTATATTTTGGATACTTGGCATATACATCTGACATGCTTTATGGAGATGATTAAGTTGGAGGATGTTTACCTTATGACTGCGCCAACTACCCGAGGGTAGTCTGAGATTTTGTCTTTGGCTCTTTATGGTTGAGGTTAGGAGTTCTACTATTTCTGATATGTATTGTTTTTCATTCATAGGTTTGGAATTGGTATTTAGCGATTCACAATTTGAGACATGGTATATACATGAGAGTTTCCTTGTTTGGATTATTTCGCTCGACGTACTAATTCTCTTGTGGGTTTTTAAATACCAATTTCCACTTAGTGTATTATGGATGATTCTACACCTATATGTACTAACTGTATTTTCTTATATACTCCTACTCCTTTCCCCTGGGGGCGGTGGAGATGATCTCGCTAGCGTTTTGACACTCGTTTTCCCCTTTTTTCATGCAGCGAGTCAGGCGCACAGAGAGTCGCATGTTAATGGAGATGCATAGTAGCTTCCATCTATTTTATTATATCTGTAGTTATTTTCAGAACTCCACAATAATTGTTTACTTTTAGACATTAGAGTTGTGTAGGGTTTCACTTGACTCTTTGTATTGAGACATATTACATTATTTCATATTTAGAGATATTTTATTCTATTTCAGTTGGGTTCTGATGGTGGTTATTTGTACATCTATTATGTGATTGTCTTGCTCATTGTACTTCTTTATTATTCTTTTGCCTGTTTTGTACCTACACCTGTCGTTTGTTTCCACTAGAGAAAGAGTAATTGTGATGATGAAACGTATTGTTGCACAGTGTTGGTGCATGATATGTTTGACATTCCTGGATTCACCTTGACCTGCAGCCTTGTGAACCCATGGACGTCACAACAAGACTTAAAACATTAAAAAAAAATCGAGAATCCTAAGTGTCATATTTTACGTAAATGTATCTAGACTCGAGCAATTTTTTAAATGTTGAGTGAATTTTCTACTTTATATTATTTTTTCATAGTGGTAGGTTCAAATTCATTGAATCTGAGTTTCTTTTACTAGTTGCTTTGTCATTTTTATGCTTAATTCATTAAACTTACATTCACGCTTCACAGGAAAATAACAAGACAGAACACCCGAAGTTGCTTCATGAGGCCAAGATCTACAGCATTCTGAATGGAGAAAGTACGTAAATTTTACAATTGGCATTGTCATAAACTTGCTAGTACTGCATGTTTCAGGTTAATTTTAGCTCATGCGTGCAGGTGGTTTTGCAAATATAAAATGGTTTGGTGTTGATGGGGAAAACAATGTTCTTGTGCTCGACTTGTTGGGGCCAAGTCTTGAAGAGCTTTTGGCCTTTTGTGGAGGAAAGTTCACTTTAAAGACTGTATTAATGTTGGCTGATCAAATGGTAATAGAAATTAGAATATAAACTTGTGGTATAACTCTGATATTAGCTAATATGTTAAAAGTTTGAGGTGTGATTCTTGCTTGTTAGAGTCAGTTGCTTGTTAGAGTCAATGTCAATGTTCAATAAAAAATTAGGAAGAGATTTTAGAGGATATACATGATTTTATATACTCATCAAACTGTTTCACATTTGCAATTTATGAGTGTAAAACATATGCATATAGCTAATTAGCTGCTGACGGATAGACATGAGCATGTAGCTGGGAATCTGGCAGAGTCTATCATCATTTCAACTTGGTTCCTGTAGTTTTTTTCTTGTAGTTATGGTATGAAAGCATTACTAGAGCTGTGTAGATTACGTAAAAATATGTCAACTTATCTATAAGTATGTGAACAAGGTTGTCTACGTAAAAAAAACACATTTAATATATTTATATATGACATGTGCAAACTGGCATATGAAAATAAATCTCTTCTATTAGCATTTCCCTTCGATACTGGGAAAACTGATACAAAGAGGTAATTTTTTTGAAGGGGCTCTTGTTTATTTGGATATTGACTTTATTTTCTTGACAAAAGTTTCATCCCCTTATTCAAGTAGATATGTATTGAGTGCTCTATATGTTGTTTCTAGATCACAAGATTGGAATATGTGCATTCAAAAGGTTTCTTGCATGGAGACATCAGACCTGATAAATTTCTCATGGGTCTTGGTCAAAAAGAAAATCAGGTATGTACTTCATGAAGTCCGGTTATTTAGGGTCAGTTTGGTATTGCTAGAGCTTATAGTAAGTTGTTTATAACAACTTATAGAAACAACTTATATAAGCTGTTGATTATAGCTGTTTGGTAATCAAGTATCAAAAATTGTTTAAAAAGCAGTTGGAAAGTGTTTAGTAGAATTGTGTTTAATGACCATTGTTAAAAGATAAAGGATATATATGATATGTAAATTAACAAAAGCAGAAGCTGCTTTTAAAAGCATTTTTAGATTGTTTCTAAAAGCAGCCCCTTAAATACAGAAGCAGTTTCAATAAGCAATCCCAAGAAAGTCTTCACAAAACATCATTATTAGTTGCTTCTTGAAAAACTAAGCAGAAACAGTTTGAAAAAAGCAAAACCAAAAACGTTTTAATTGTTAATTCTATAGAAACCAGCTTTAATTGTTAATTTGTACGTAGACCACCTATAAATGTTTTTTTGTTGCAGTCAACCACCTGAGCTCAGTTTCAAGTTTAAGTTTTTTTTTTCCGATTATGCTGTAATAATTACATGTCAAATACTAAGTATGTTAGAGGCGTTATCCTTGAGTAAGGGTAGGTGGGGTTAATTACCAAAAACATTAACTGAATAGTTGGCCTAAGTGGTTGATTGCAACAAATAATTTGTGAAAGGTGGTGTATGTATAAATTGACAATCAAATATGCTTTCTATTGAATGACCCTAATTTAAAGGTGGTTTCTATGAAGAAACCCTAATATGTTTCTATACTATTTAACGTCAAGGCAATCTTATTCCTTGGTATCAATGTCTAGGTACACATGATTGACTTTGGGCTTGCAAAAAGATATCGAGACTACTGTATTGGTCCTTACAGGTATCTAGTTATTAGTGAGTAATCTAATTTTGTGTGCTCAATCCATCATCTTCAGTTTCACCTTCACGTGATACGTTGGGCATATTCACTGTTTTAAATTTCCTTGATATAGCCTATAATATCGGCCGATATATTCTTTATAAGGCTTGAGGTAAAACCCTCTAGGTGGCCTCAAGGTCTAGAAAGAGGGGAGGAGCTCTCTAGGATGAAGTTGACTCTGATACCATATAAAGAAATATATTATTCCCTCTAGCTCTAATCTCTCTTAGAAACTAGGAGGATATTACAAAACATGTAACCATATCTAATAATATCTCGTAATTTCTCATAATTTCTCATAACATCTAATGATATGAAACATAAGTCAATGTGGACATTTGTTAATTGCATACCTTTAAATGAGCAAGCAAAATCAAAAGTCAATTCTCTTTTATACTTGAGTACAATTGGCCTTTCAAAGGGCACAAACAAGTTTGGGTATAGCTTAGATAAGCCATTAACCATATCTATATCTGCTTATCATTCACGGATTCGAATATGCCTCTGTAAGAAAAACTCGTATCGATGTCATTATCCGCTAAAATCTACACGTATCGATATCCGCTAAAATCGGATACGGATACAGGTACATGCGGATATATCTGTGGATATACATGCCGATATAAAATGGATATGAGAAAACCAATTAATGTTAAAAAAATAGTTTTTTCCCTGTTTTCTTTCCAGTAATTCATTAGTTATAACTTGATCAGGGATTCCTCCTTTCAGCACTAGTCATTGTTATGATTATATAATTTAAAGTTCAATCTTTGACTTTGTAACCTTCTAAGACTGATTTAACTCTTTTTAGGGAGGAGATAATTCCTGTTAGATACGACCAAAAGTTAACTTGCTGCCCTACCTTTGCAAGTGGCTATTCTCATGCTGGCTTTGGTAAGTGACAACTGGTACATCATTCTTTGGTTTCTTTCAGAGTCAAACATTCTATTGTTTTCTGAAATTTTATAGAGCAAGGCCGTCGGGATGATTTGGAGTCACTTGGCTATGTCCTCTTGTACTTTCTAAGGGGAAGGTATACTTCCATTTCTTGGAATATTTTGATTGAACATCTTCGCCTTCAAGATTGATTATTTGCTTTATGCCTTCAACATTGCTTTTTGTCATCATCTTTTTGGACAGGAAATTATTACACATTAATTATTTTTTATTAACCCAGGCTTTTATGTACTAAAGATGTCGATAGTTTGAGAATTTGAATGTTTCAAATAA